ACTGGCAACTACCAGCCTGCTCTCTGCTTCTATGTGTGTGACTATTTTAGATTTCTCATATAAGTGGTAGCATGTATTGTTTGTCTTGTGTCTGGTTTATTTCACTGAGCACAATGTCTTCTAGCTTCATATTTATTATCATAAGTAGGAAGATTTCCTTTGTTCTTAAGGCTGGATAACATTCCATTATATGTATATAACACATTTTCATTACTTTTTTTAACAATGGACATTTAGATTACATTCATATTTTGGCTACTGCCATAATGCTGTAATGAACATGAGAGTCTTCTACTTCTTTTGATAATGTTGTCTTATTTCCATCATACAGATCCATATCTTCTTTATTCCTAAGTATTTAATTCTTTTAGATACAATTGTAAATGGGATTGTTTTTATTTCTCTCTCCTCTAGTGCATTTTTCACTTATAAAAATTAAACACCTTTTTGTATTTCTTTTTTTTTAATTGAGGTACCACTGGTTTACAATACTGCATATTCTTCCTGTATTGATTTATTCTAAAATTTTTAGTGAAGGTTTTAGCATTTACTGTGTATAGTATAATATTGCCTCTAAATAGTGATCATTTTATTTCTTTTTCACAAATTGTATTAATTTTGCATCTTTCTTTTGCCCAATTGCTCTAGCTAAGAATTCTAATCATTAAAATGAGAAGATAATCAACTGAAAGGAAGGAAATATATGAACATCATCTAACTTTCCAAGAGTCCTCTACAAAGGACTCACACCACTCAACAAAAAAGAAAAAAAGGCTTAATAAAAACAATGGACACTGGCCCTCCCTGGTGGCGCAGCGGGTTGAAGCACTGCACTAAGAAACTTAAGCCACTTCTGCATGAGTTCGATTCCCGTCTGCCCGGGAGGAGATCCACATGGCCCGGCAGACCTCTCCTGACCCGCCCACTGTTCCCCTCAGCAGTGTACTTCGTCGATCTGCCTGTTCTGCTCCCTACTCTGTCTCTGGTGAATCCTCTCACCCTCCACATCTCTGGCCTGTACCCCAGTTCTGCATGAGTAAATAAATAAATCTTTAAAAAAAAACACAATGGACAAGAAAGCTAAGTAGATATTTTTACAAAGGGGACATACAGGTGGCCAACAAACATATTTTTAAAAATGCTACATCCCTGTCTTCAGGGAAATGCAAATAGAAACCACAATGAGATACCATTTCACACCTGTGAGAATGACCCATATCAGAAAGAACAGAAATAATAAGTATTAGCAAGGGTGTAGAGAAATAGTCTTGCACACTGTTGGTATAAATATAGATTTGGTTGTTCAGCCCTCAGGGAAAATAGTATGAATATTTCTACAAACATTAGAAATAGACTAACCATAGGATCTAGAAATTCCACTCTTAGGTATGTATCTGAAGAATACATAAAAATACTAATTTGAAGGGATGTATACACTTTTATGTTCCTTGCAGCACTATTAAAAATAGGTAAGTTATGGGAAAAAACGTTAAGTATCCAATGACAGATGAGTGGAAAAAGATGTGGGATATACACACAATAAAATACTAACCTATATTTGTGTGTGTGTGTGTGTGTGTGCGCGCGCGCACTTGTAGTGTCTGTGCATAACGATGAAATCATTCCACTTGCAACAACATGAATGGAATTGCAGGGGATTAAGTAAAATTAGTTAGAAGGCCAAAGACATATTCCAGATGATTTCACCCATATGTGGAATATAAAGAAACAAAGAAAAGGAACAGACAAAACTAAGTCAAAGCAAACCCTATAAAATCTGACTGCAAAACTTTCTGAGGGGGTGGAGTAGGATTTAAAGAAGGGAGAATGCCCAATGATAGAGAGTTATAGGTACTTTGGTGGTAGATGTGATATAGCAACATATATTTGAAGAATATGCAGTATTGTCAGCCAATGATACCTCAATAAAAAATTACCTTTTTATTTAAAAAAGCCAATTTATTTAAAATTTAAAAATTTTTAAAAGCCAATTTATTTTAAAGAGGTAATTTAAATCTTCACGACTTGCTATTTACTGCATTATTTTTTTTTAAATGAACGCACTATTAGAAATGAGTGAAAATTTCCTTGTATATGTTTTAGACATAAATGTTAATCTTTTAATAAAAACACAGGAGTTTTTGTTTTTTTGTTTTTTTTAATGAATGCGATAATAATTTTATTAGCCATCTTCTCCAGTTAGGCCCATTTGTTGATGAATTTTATCATGTGCTAATTCATTCCTATTTTCTTTTTAATTTAGATCTTTATTGGTGATGTCTTACGGTTTATCCCATCAAAGAATTGTCAGCGATCAAATATATCTCCTCTGAAACATAGCATAATCATTATTGACACTAAATAGTGAACTAGATAATTTTGGAACTACTTATCTATACTGTAAAGGCTGTATTAGAGGGAGAGAGACATGTTTTAAGATAATACTGGAGGAAAATACTATTGAGCAAACTGATTTTTTAAGTGTATGCAAATCAAAAGAATTCTAAAGTATTGATCTATTCTTAAAAGTAAAGACCTCAACGAAAGATAAGTAAACATGAGACATGTTCTGTTTTCTGACTTTTTTATCATCTGCCACTCTAACTAAAGATAATAAAATATTTTGGAATTGAATCGGAATATAATTCAGGAAAATTACAAATGTAGTATTTTGTAAGGTTCAATTTAGCATGACTCATGGGAGTCACTTTCTTGTTGTTTTTTTTTTATAACAGTTTATTTTTACATCATTTTGTACATTTTTTTTTCCATCTCAATTGTAATCCCCGTGGGTTTCCCATCACCAAGTCACCAAACACGGGAGTTTTTTTAAATACAAAGACAAATTTGGCTAATTAGTGAATCCAGTATTATATCCCACTGTAGCGAAGTTATAATGCCTAAAACAATGAAATTGGTGTTAATGAGGAGGGAATAGGAATCTAAGATATAAAGATAAAATTTAAAAACTCATAGTCAATGATTGGAACTCTTATCTGAGATATTTATGAGATGATTAGACACATGAAACATCCCCCACAAATTCTAGTTTTTACCTAGAATATCTGTACACACAAAATGTGGGTAATAAAAGTATTTAGTGGATTATTACAAAATTAAGTTTAAAAGATAAGGCAGGGGCCCTCTCTGGTGGTGCAGCAGGTTAAAGCACAGCACTAAGAAGCTAAAGGCACTTCCTCATGAGTTCGATCCCCACCCCGAGGATATTCACATGTCGTGAGGCATGACCCTCTCCTGACCCTCCTGCTGTTCCCCTCAGCAGTGTACCTCATCGATCTGCCTGTCCTGCTCCCCACTCTGTCTCTGGTGAATTCTCTCACCATCCCCGTGCCTCTGGCCTGTACCCCGGTTATGTATACATAAATAAATAAATCTTAAAAAAATAAAAAAAGAAAAAGCTAAAGCCACTTCAGCATGAGTTGGATCCCCGCCCTGAGGTGATCCACATGGCGTAGCAGACCTCTCCTGACCTGCTCACTGCTCTTCTCAGCAGTGTACTTTGTCAGTCAGCCTGTCCCAATCCCTGCTCAGTCCTTGGTGAATTCTCTCACTGTTCCTGCACCTCTGGCCTGTACCCCAGTTGTATGCATAAATAAATAAATTAAAAAAAAAAAGATAAGGCAGAATATTTTTCAAAAAAGCTTTTTCATTTGCCAAAGATATCAGAGTAATAAATCACTGTTTTCCAAGTAGCTATAACTCCCTTTTTATTATTATAGTTAGTAGAAAAATGGGTTTCTTTTGTTTAAGTTATTAAACTGAAGCAAAATTTAACTAATTCTTGTTCTTTTTTTGGTACAAGCCTCAATTTTTAAAAAAATACACTAAAATTGGGGCCCTCTCTGGTAGCACAGCAGGTTAAAGCACAGCACTAAGAAGCTAAAGCCACTTCAGCATGAGTTCAATCCCCACCTGCCCCAGAGGAGATCCACATGGCGTGGCAGACCTCTCCTGACCCGCCCACTGCTCCCCTCAGCAGTGTACTTCGTCGATCTGCTTGTTCTGCTCCCCTTCTGTCTCTGGTGAACCCTCTCACCCTCCGCATCTCTGGCCTGTACCCCAGTTCTGTATAATTAAATAAATAAATCTTTAAATCAACAACAACAAAAACACTAAAATTAAGGCTGCCCCTGGTGGCACTGCCGGTTAAACACAGCACTAGAAGCTAAAGCCATGTCAGCATGAGTTCAATCCCCACCCCGAAGGTGACCCACATGGCGAGGCAGACCTCTCCTGACCCTCCCGCTGCTGCCCTCAGCAGTGTACTTGTTGATCTGTCCTTCTCCCCACTCTCTGGTGAAGCCTCTCACCCCCCACACCCCCACCCCCGTCTGGCCTGTACCCTAGTTCTGTACGCATAAGTTAAAAAAATCTTTTTAAAAAATACACTGAAATTACATTAAGTATAAAACAAAAACACTGCAATATTAATTTGGGGTAATTTTTAATAAGTTAAATATGTTTTGAAAGTCATGTCTAAAGTGAACTTAGCTATTATAAAGATATTAAAGTGTATAAAAGAAATTCAGTAAAGATTATTATGAATCATAGACCAAATTTAGTAAAGGACCAAAAATATAGCCAATATTTTAGAAGTGATATTAAAATTTTTAAGACAGCATTTAATCTGCATCCCAATCCCTCCTGCCAAATTTAAGCTACTCTAAAATGAGAACAATTAGAAAAGTTCTTTCTAGAACAGCATAATTACAAAACAATGACTATTTTGAATAAAGACCCTCTTTAAGGTCAACTCAGGCATCAATAGAAATCACTAATGACTGTCTTAAGTATTGCCAAGGAATTTTTCTTTTTCAGTTTCCATTACCAAATGATTAGCTGGCATTTTTGCCATAAGTGATTCACTCTGTGGGTGTCTCATTCATAAAACAAACTACAGCTGAATAACATTTTCCATTATTATGTAAAACAACCCCAAAAAACAACAAATCAAAACAATGATAAAAACCCAAGCTTACCATTTCCCTTCTTCATTTTCATATTGTTGAACAGTATATCCAAACATGTCCTCTACTGGGCCATTGAAAGTCATTGAATTTTTCACATCCACATTGAATGATACACAGAAGCCTAGAACAACTAAGAAGGAAGACAAGGTTCAGTTACACAAAGTTAACTAATATGCTATCGGGGTTTGAATTACAACGTGCATTCTTGAGGTTCTCATTAATAATAGTGCTCTTATCAAAAATAGCAATGCCTCTCACAGAATGAAAACTATAAGGAAAGTCTATGATACTAACTGTATTGTGAATGGAAATCAACATAATGACTTTAAAGAATATAAGAATTGACATTCAAACAAATCCCCATAGTCATTTAGTTCTAGCACCATTTCCAGAGTGAAAGATTTCAGAATGTGTGGGAAAGACTACAGCAGTTACAGACAGTGTCCAAGTAGGGAGCCTGACAGCAAACTGTGGTTTCTATTTAATATAAACAACTTAATTTTTCCCGTTCTGATTACAGAGGATGCAAGTATTACCATTTAAAGTCCCTGGAGAGGAAACTTTTCTTCTTTCAAAGGGAAGGCTAGCTGATTATTTCCATCCAGAGATGAAATCTTATACAGAACTGGGATTCACTTTGCTTTTCTCTCTTTAATCAAACAGCAGTGAGTGGAACTTTATACTTAACATACTAGTTTCCTTAAAGTGTTGTTGATAACCTTGAGGGTTACTAGTGAGATTAAATCAGATGATATATCTAAGTAGTTTACTCAATATCTGACACTATCTATTAAATGAGGTTTTACTCTCTTTAATTTCTGTTGTTCAAGTAAATGGAACTCTTTTTATAAGAAACTCTCTCCTACAAAGTCTCAGAATAGTTTCAGATTCTGTCTTTGGTACTGGCTGTTCAAGTGTACCTGTGAAGTTCCGAAGTAAGGGGAGTACTAAGAAGCTAAAGCCATGTCAGCATGAGTTCCATCCCCACCTGCCTCTGAGGTGACCACATGGTGTGGCAGACCTCTCCTGACCCACCCGCTGCTCCCCTCAGCAGTGTACTTCAACGATCTGCCTGTTCTGCCCCCCACTCTGTCTCTGGTGAATCCTCTCACTGCCCCTGCTTTTCTGGCCTGTACCACAGTTCTGTATGCACAAATAAATAAATCTTTAAAAAGAAATTAAGAATCCTTCCCTATGAATGTAAGAGCACTTAAAAATCACAGTGTCATAAAGTATATTCAGAGGTGATTTAATTCACTACCCTTTGCTAAAACCACAACCTTACTAAAAGTATTTGGAAAAACTCTTTCCTTACTTACTATAAACACTTTCATAAATATAGTTCAAAACCAAATGCTATTTTATTTCAATTCATCCTTTGCTCTAATTCATATCTTCAAATTTGATAATAATATTAAGTACTTATCTGATCATAAAATTACATGTAACTTAGAAAATTTATTTTTCAAAATGGCTTATGCATATTTATTTATGAGAAAAAGATACTTATGCATGCCTATTTAAAAAGCCTTTCCTGATTTACCACCTGAGAATAATTTTTAACTGCTATAGTTTCCTCTTTTATTTAAAAAATTCTCAGAAATAGTCATTAAATATTACCTATCTTAATTATTGGTGAGGTTTCTCTCTCTCAATTTTCCAATAATTGGAAAACTCTGAAAGGCAGGAACTCGAAATTATTTTTCTTGTCCCTTCTCAAATCTAGCACAGCTCCTTGCACACATGGACAGTACAATTAAAGACAACACATTGAAGGAGGAAGCATGACAGCTGTAATCAGAGGCAAACTGGTATCTATTTCATCTTAGTTGAGAAGATTTTATGGAAATAGTAGTTTCCAACTTAGATCTTTTTTAAGGGGTGGGAGATAAGGCCAGTTGGTAGTGAGAAAATATATCACAAGGTTTTGGAGCATCTCTGCCAGTGATGAGACACAAAAGGAAACAAATATGGTATCAGTCCACGGACAGATTTGCCTGGTGGAAGAGGCAGATAAAGAATGGACAGGTAGCCCAGGTCCATTTACATACATTTCCAGTTCATTCTTTAAGGGAGAACAGCTAGCTACCATCTTTTTCATAATAATTTTTCATACAATTGAAGGCAGTTTTAAATACTTTTCACTCTCCATAAGCTATACCTATTCCTTTCCTCATCTTTGATTTTTTTTCTTTTTTACACTTTCAATAGATTATTTTTAACATTTGAAATAAAAAACATCTCTTTTGCAGCAGAATTTCTCAACTTTGGTGCTGTAAACATTTTGGATAAGAAAATTCATGGTTATGAGAGGCTATCTATAATAAAGAACAAAAATATTTCCAGAAAGTGTTAAATTTCCCAGGGACCAAATATATCTCGAATTGAAAACCACTCTACAGCAGATAAAGACCAGAACACTATCACCAGTGACTTTGTTTAAGGTGACAGAAAACCAACAGTGGCCTGCAAATTAGTGATATCTACATTACCCAGGAGGGGGTAAGAAATCCATAATCTCAGGCCCCACAGAGATTTCTTAAATTGGTATCTTTATCCAAACAAGATCCTCAGGAGGGAAGTCTAACTCCTGTTAGACTTGAGAAGCACATGAATATTGTAGCCCTCTATCATAATGTGATACAGGTAATAGAATTTGTCTAAATTAAAAGCACTCACCAACTTTAGACAAAAGGGGAAATGAATTCACTTTAATCTGAGTCAATGTCACCCCTCTGAAAGGATTTTTCCAGCACTTCATCATCTTTAGTGTCTGTTTTCCCAAAGGCCATTCATGGTACCCATCAACATAAGACCAAAACTTTGGTTTCCTTTTTGGGCCTGTTTGTTTGTTCTACATGTTGTGTGGAATGTCCGGGGGTGTGTTTTGTACTTATTATTATTTTTTTTTTTCATTTCCTGTCCTCAGAATTCTACAGGCAATTTGCCCAAAGTGATTGTAAATCAGTCTCTTTCATGTTTCCTTAGGCACGAAGGAGACTGAAGCATAAGAGATGACATAAAAAAAAATAGTTTACATCTTGTTCTTTTGATTTAAAGGAGTGTATAAACAGTAAAAGCAGTTTCTCATAACTTTTTGTTCAATGTTCATTTTGTTATAGTAAGTTATCTCAGAACGTTAAGTACCAGAAATAAAGAAAAATTATAATTCTTTTCAGTAGAAGCAAAACAACAACAAAATTTCCAACATACTAAGATGCTTTGTGGGGGCAATTTAGGGTTAAAATGAATTATAACATAAACACTAGTCAGAGCTCAAATGCAAATTCTGCTTTCACATGCACTAGAAAAGATTTATTTCCTTTCATAATAGTAACAAACATTTTGCATTACAATGTGTTGCTCATTTCATTTGCTAACTACCCTACAGCTCAATACCACATTCTCATCACTGTGCAGATGAAGATAGCAGGGACATTTGCCCCCAGGAGACCCAAATCATTGACATTATTCAAGGTTTTTGATATAGTCCTAAAACTGGGAATGGCAAGTAGAGGGTGACAATGGCATAAATTTGGAGGAGAGATATTAGTTCATGTAATTCCTCCCCAGAAACAGATTAAGGGAAGTGTTCTTCTGTGGTAGTGTAGTGATGGGCTGAGAGGGTGTTGGTAATGAAGGGAAGGTAGGAGACAGGAGAGAGCGATGGCCACTGAGTGCTAGATAGGGATTCTGAACATGATTTCAGCTAAATCGTGTTTAAGTAGAAAAGAAATGAACAGGTCTTCAAATATGGTTTAATGTGTTACTTATCTAAGGGCTGAGACGAACAGGAAGATGAGATTGTCGATATTAAAGGGCTTTTCTTGTAAAAAATGATCATTTTTTGAATAACTCCAGGATAGAATTTGATGTATGAGAGAACTAAGTGAGAGCTGAAGAGGGACAAACACTACAGTAGTACAGTGTTAAATGCTCCCAAACATTTTCCACTTACAAATATTTTCATGCAAACAATGGTGATGGCATCATGCACAAACCAGGGTGGTTAGGCAGGATGGAGCTCCATCTTCCTTTCTGTGTGTCAGGAAACGAGCATAGATTTGTTCAAGGTCAGTCTGGCTTAGTAGCAGAGATAGACTTCAGCTCTGGTTTTTTAAGGTCAAGTCATAGACTTTATATGATGACAGTGCTTTTGTGTTGGTCAGATTAATAAAAATAAACTACCCAGCTCAGCGCAACCCTCAAATGCTTTGGAATATGTGAGGATAAGACCAGCAGGAAAAAAATGACTGAGGATGCAAAATCTGGGCACCTCCAGTGGACACATGCTCCTCTAAGTTCCAAGGAGAGTTATTGCTGCCTCTTCTACTACTTGAATCTTAATGAAAAAAGTCTGTCTCTCACTGGGTAGTTCAGAAATTCTAAACTAGGCATATCCAGATTGGAGTTTTTAAGAGTTAAGTGAATTCTGAGTATTTCAAATTCCAAGTCCAAGGCAAGAGGGTATCAAATAAATGGGGATCAGGGATCATGTTAAAATGTTACTGTTCTTTCAACAACTTCCTACTCACATTTATTTAATCTAGAAATAATAGGAAAACTCATGCCATTAACACTGTGAAAGGTTGAAATGAGTACACAATATTAGGATAAGAAATAAAGATTGTGTGGTTGCAGTTAATTAATAGTTGTTAGGGTAAATTCCCTGGCAGTATAGAAAGATGGTGATTTTTAGACATACAGATTTAGGAACTTAACTCTAGCCCCTTCACTTAAATTATGTAGTTAGTTATTCAAATTTATTAAATTATTTCACAAACATTAATCATGTCTTTATTTAGGGTTGGGCATTTGCTAGGCTCCAGAGATATAGTTATAAAAAGACAATACACCTGCCTTCACAGATCTTACAGCCCAGCTGAAAAAAAAAAAACTCAGCAAGTGGGCCTCAGGTTATCATATTGAAAATGAGTTAACAAAGGCCTTCCAGGTGTTAACTGCTGTGAGGAATACCAGTTACACATGTAGGAGCAGAGAATAATCAGTCAGTGAGAGGAACTGCCTTCGTAGGTGGAATCCATAGTCAGGGTACCATCTGGCTGTTGAGTTTTCTTTGGGAAGAGGATTTCCCCCCATTCTGATGACCAATTATATCTTAAAAAGTGA